CCTAAACAAATATCTGAGAAATGTTTAATTATATCACAGTTGCATGTTTTACTTTTATTATTTGTGACAATGTTGCAAAAAGCAAAAAAAAAATAAAAAATCACAGACTGCTAATTTATAACTGTTTCCCTACACAGACAAATGTTTTAAAAAAGAATATGTCTCAAGCACAATTGGCAGTAAGTAAGTAGGTTCAATATAATTTTATTTATATAGTATTTTAAACACCCAGTACAACTAAAGTTAAAAACAAAACACATTAAAACACAGCTCTATAATAAATCAGTACAGCAATAAACCAGGATTCCCCCAGAAAACCTGCTAAGCCCGGTGCTCTGGACGCTAGGGCAGCTATCCAGCCATCCGTTGTGTTTTTGAATTAAAAAATGTTTAAAGTTGACAGGAAATCTGAAAATATCACTTGATAATTATGTGTTATTGAAAGACTAATACCTAAACACTGACTATGAAGTCTTAATAAAAGGCAATCATTAAAAAAGAACAAATAAATAAGCAATGCTTAGCCTGGTGGGGGCAGAAGTAAAGCCTGGTGGCCCGCCAGGCTTATAATACACTGGGGGAATAAACTGGCATAAAAGTGACCTAAAACCAACAGGTTGACAGATATAAGACTTGATGAGCACAGTTGAAATCAAATTGTTTGGAGTAACTTCAAGATGAACTTCAGCTTAAAAAAGTAAACATTATCAACACCTCTAAAGTAAACTCTTACTGAGTAAAAGCTAGACAAGGATATCATAGGAAGAGGAGGAAAATAACACTGGTGATTTGGTTTAGGAGCTCAAAACAGCAATGAGAGAAAGCCTTAATATATTATGATCTGTCTGTTTTATACAGATCAACATATTCTAATCTTTTATGATCAAATATAGTTGCATAACCCACTCATATGTGAGCATGCCAAAAGTTTTCAACTGTGCTGTTTCTGAATGAGAAACCGACTTTAAATAATAAATTTGTGAAATAATCTACTGAGGAGAAACAATTTCACCCTCTGTGATCCCTATTATTGATATTTGCCTATGGTGAGATCCCAAACTATTTGAAAACATTTACTCTGCTCCGAAGCTGTAATTTGTTCAGCCTCCTTTCAGAAGCAACTCTGGCGCTAAAGAGAATCCCCAACCCAGCTGAACTATTGATCCTGTGTTAATGGTAAACGGACAGGCCATCACAGAGACCCATGTTTAGCGTTTAGCCAGTGGCTCAGTCTATGCATCGGGACGTTTACCGAGGTCATACTCAGAGCAGATCCGGGATGACACATAAACACTACCTGTCTCTCAGAATAAGACTTTGAGAGATGCAGGCTAGCTCTACTTCATAAAAACACAGGCAATCAGTAAACTAGTAAAACATCAAGCTGCAGGCTAGTCAGTTGGCACATTTCAAAGTTTAATCTTAAACCCCCTCGGTTGTAAAACCAACAGTGTCGTTATTGAAGCTGTGTGCACACTAAATAAAGAGACTTTTGTTCACCACTGTAGCACTGGCGTTAGCTTGTTAGCTAGCTAGCTAGAGTAACAGTTGGCTGACTTTTAAAAGCGCCAGTCGAGGTGACATTTCATGACGGCTCAAGCTTTTAATGCACTTTATTTGCAGTTTGAAATCAATAGATAATTATCACATTTTTGCTAAACAGTGGCCTCTGTTATAAGCTTTCCTAACCAGCCTCTAAGACAGAGATAACCCTAAAAACATGCATAAAAAGCTTTCCAGAAAGTAGCTAACTTTAGCATACTAGTCAAAGTTTTATACTGAACAGGATAGGCTGCTTTATAAGGTTTAAAGAGGCGAAATAATAGCAAAGTTGATAACTTACACACTCCATGTTCCACCCGGTCTACAACTAATGGGATCTCACAAAGGCACGCAAACCTCCTTCCGCTGTGACGCAAAGAGAGCTGTTACCGTAATATCTGTGGTACTGGCGCAACCAGGCGGAGTCACCGTAATAATTGTGTTAAATGCATTTCAGGACAGGATACAATAAAAATATTAAGATACTCTTTTATATAAAGTTTAAATGGTAAATAATTGCTTTGTAAATGTAATTGTGCGCATTAGGGAGAAGTAAATGAAACAGAACTCAATATGATAGTTTATTTGTTCATCAAGAATATTTAATGGTTGGAAGTGTAAAAAAAAACAAATTCATGTGTCTGTTTTTTGTTTTGGACTGTTTTTTTTTGTCCATTTTTATATTCCTGATTATATAAGCAAAATATGTTTTTTATTTATATTGCAATGATTTATGGGAGGTAGTTTAATTTAATTTGGTGTGGACAAACATACAATACACTTAAGTCTTTTCTGCTTGTATATTTTCAACCTGTTCAAATTGTAGTATTTTGAAGTATTAGCAAAAATAATTATTGATGACTGAATAATAAAAAAATCAATCAGCTGGTAATTTTTTTTGTTTTTGTAAGTTTAACACCGTACGTTAGGCTAATTGGGGGGAAAAAATAATAAATTTGATAAAACCTGTATGACAAATGGCAGAATAGTGAGAGCATTTATAAGAGATTATTTGCAGTAGTCCTCAGTGTATGGATATTTCCTAAAATAAATACTACTACATCACTTATGACATTAGGTTTCAAGAACAAACTGAACAAAATAGGTCTAAACCCCAGATATCTATGAACGTCAATCCATTGTCCGACAATAAACATTTTACCAGCAAATTTGGGATATTTATATATACATAACATGTTCACTAGACAAGCTACTAGCAGCTGTTTGCAGTAGAAAGTCCAGGACTTCAGTCAGTTACCTGATGGTCATTAAAGACCTTTTGCTAAGACTAATGCAAATAAATCTGCATCCTTAACATGTTTTTTTAAGAATACACAACTAATAATAAAGCCTCATGCATATCATAAAAAAATAAATGTTGGCATCTTAAAGAAGAAAAATCAGGGACATCCAACAAGTGACAGATTTGTTTATTTACAAAACAGTTTACAGCAAGATTTCTAAATTACCGTTGACCCACAGGGGAATACTGGTGTTCAGGTGCACAACACCTGCACCTATGGTGTCAAGTCAATAAATGAAAAAAACAAAACAAAACAAAACTTAAAAGCACCTTGAGTCAAGAAAAGGAAGCAGATGAAGGAGTTTGAACATCTGTAAGGCACAAGACACAGCATCACCAGCCTCTGCTCAACTATCATCAGTTATCCACCATCTAACTATTAGGGGAAAGCATTTTATAAAGTTAGAAATATCCACTACAGCTACAACACAAGGCTTTAGGGGAGAAAAAAAAAAACAGAATTACTGTACATTAGATTTCTGTAAGGCTACAGGTTTTGTAAAAAAAAAAAAAAAGAAGAAAAGATTTCAAGTGTTTGACAGTGACCATTTGTCAGAAAGGCTACAGGCACCATGGTTGGGTTTTATCAAACATGTTAAAGTCATCAACTTAAAATTCACTAAACTAACTCCGTGGCCACCTACATAGTATTTTGTAATACTAAAATGCAAATCAAAAACTGAAATCTAGAAATCCTTTTAGCTTCGATAAACAATCTAAGAGTGTACTCTGTGTAGAAAAATGGAGAGCGACAGCTTGAGTCACTCCAGATATTTTCCAAAGTATCAAATCACATTCTAAGATTCTAGTTATACTGTATATAACGGGCTTAACTTGTAATTAGCAAATATTTATGTTGTCCATAACAACCTTATCACAATGAATGGGGAGAAATTAAACTACAGATATAAGCGATGTGTAACGGCGTAGTTAAATATACAACAGAACGGCGTCATGGCGACGCGTCACCACAGCTCATGAGTAAGAGGTACCTGAGGATGAGCAGATAAAAATTACAGTGAGAACTGAGAAAAACCCCAGTGAGATTTCTTTTCTTATAGAGCGCTGATAGAATAGTGACCACATTTAAAGCAATGTGAACTGTGATTGCATTTCTGTCAAAAAGACCTGCTGAAATTATGGACCAGTCCTTGGAAATAATAACAATAAAAAAAAAAAAAAAAACAAAATTATTCCCAGAATGCATTTGAACGTTAAAGTATCCAGTGAAGACGCTTCTTTGAGGGGTTAATCCTGCTCTAGACATTTCTTTCTTTCCATGGTTACAATTACTGGGATCTAGTATCATTTGTCGGGCAGCTGCTTTGCTACGTAAATCAATCTTGAATTCTGAGCGGAGAACAAGCGTGCCTCTGCTGCATCGACGAGGCCACCGTTAGCAAGCTGGTGAAGTTGTGTCTCATGTCTTCAGTAAATCAGCTCACTGGTGTCCTGCATAAGCCTTTACATCACTGCACACTTCTTCTCCTCTGGAGGTGCGTTCCCGTCAGCTTTCTCCATCTCCAAAATGATTCGCTTGAAAACCTCCACAGCAGTCTGCGTTTCAAGCAAGAGTCTTTGTCAGGCATGAACAATGGATTAGCATCAGGGGTTAAACTTTAAGGGCTTGTTACCTCGTTTTCTTTGGCGGAAGACTCCATGAATGCAGCTCCCCAGGAATCAGCTAGTTTTTTGCCCTCCTCTGGTTTGATAACCCTTGAAACAAATCGACAATGCATAGTGAAGTGAGCACATCTCATTGCTTGCTTGCTGTAAAAAGTGTTCTTGAAACCTTCACATGGTCAAATTTAATAACTTCTTAAGATATAAATCGTTATGGTTAATAAATAGGCTATCGTGACCCGAGTTCCAGTCAAAGTACAACGCAATAATTTGAATTTAGCTAATTAAGCTAATGTCAGTTTTAAACGTATAATTTCTATTAAAAAACATGGAATTCAATTTAATCTGAATGATTCTTACAGAGGTTTTATTTCTTCACTTCAAATATTTTTTGTTTCTTTTTTTAAAATCAGTGTAGCTGCACAAATCAAAACAAGTTGTGAGGTCTAGACTGCAACACAAGATACATTTAGTAGCAATTTTAAGCACATTTTCTAAAGTTTAAGCACTTTCAAAAACTTGAAAAACACCAACGAATTTAAGTTTCAGGTGTCATCGGACCTCTGTTTAAGGACTATATGGCAGTTACTTAATTTAATAAAGTAAATACTGCCTTGTTAAAATTAGCATCTTTCGAACATTATTATTATTATTATTATTATTATTGCTACCACAAGATGGCAATAATGCATTTCTGTTACCTAAACCAAACAATAACACCAACACTCACCTTTCCATGTGAAGATCTTTTTTGTTTCCTACAAGAACAGTTGGGACCCTGAAAAGAAAAATAGCTCAAAATGTACAAATATACACTTTAAAATTTCTCAGTTATAAAGAACTTAAGGGACTGATTGGACTTACTGAATCTTGCCAACCATGTCTAGCAGCTTGTCGTGTAGAACCTGCACAACTTCAAAACTGGACAGGGGACAGGCAGTGTTATTTTAAACATTGATCTGGAAGAGTAGTATTAACAAAACTTCAACATTTGGATGCAGAACTAATCAAATGGGAATCTTATGACATAAATTACGTCATGGTATAATTCTAGTCAACATGAGTTTTTGCTGCTTAGCTGTAAGAAATGCTCCAACTGTGAGCATCATAGTTGTTTTGCAGCATTTGAAGCAGCAGTGACACTAAGCCGACAGTTTCCCTGAGTCTGAACCGTAGTGACAAAGTTTAAAAAATAAATAGTAATACTAAACGCTGACTTCATTTAATTTGCACATCTATTCGGTGCTTTTGTCTTTGATACTCTCCTGTATTTTCTATTCAGAGACCCACTTTCCAGGATTTCCGATTACAACTTCAAGCAAACATATGCAGAATGTCACTTGTTATTTTATTTAAAACAACATATCAATGATTTTTTTGGGACCCGACAAAATCTTGTCCGATTTAGATGGAGATAAATATATTTATTTTCTTATATTCAACCCATTAGTTTCTTGAATGCTTTCAAGAACCTAAACACCAAAATCAAATGATTTACCAGGAAAGGATTCAGATTAAATCAAGCATTTTTAAATCAGTAAAAAATGATATCTTGGCTGAACATAAGAACTGTTAAAACTCGACTAAATTTTATAACCATTAAAAAGTTGAAGAAGCAATGTGTTGAATATTTAATAGTAACATCATAAAAAATGTGAAAATAAGGAAACTTTGGAGGACTTTGTCTTTTTCTCTAAATGTTGCTACATAAATAGAGGGACACTTGTAACTTACTAAATAAATAGTTGTGCTGTCTAGTACAATTTAAAAGTTGCGACATTCTTTCAAATGAAATTGTTTGTTTAGACACTAATCTCTTAAAAAATTTGGCTGATATAACTTTTATGGTTCGACTTAAATAAAAAAAATTTTTACAGTATCGTTTCCCCTTGATGGGCTGCTTATAAATACCTAAACAACAAAAACTCCAATCTGGGATGAACTAAAACTTTACTTTACTCATTATTAATGTGATTCAATAGTAAACACTGGTTAAAACCCAAATAATTCCCGTGTTGAAAAAGATATAAGACTTCTTAATGCAAAGTTTATTACTGAAATAAAGGCAACTACAAAAGCATCCACTGACCTTTTCATGGAAGTCACTGAATAGACCAGAACATAACCATGGATGTCCATTGAGTGGGACTGTGGAAAAATTGAGTACTCATCCTACAGAGAGAGAAATTTCCATTTCATTTTAGAAATAAAAGTCCTGGAGATTTCAAAAACAACACTAAAAACAAAAGACAAATGTGCTTATTAGTCAGAAACATTCAGTTTAAATCACTCAGATCAGTTACGACAACAAAGTAACTTACCTGTCCGGCTGTGTCGACTAGCTGCAGATTGAAGTCCTGACCTTTCACGTTGACCATTTTGTTAAATGCTTAAGAAAAAAAAGGGAAGTTTTTACAATTTTCACATTAAACCATGAAGAACTCTTAAAACCGAGCAAATATAAAATCACTCACTG